GGGCACTGCGACGCGGGCGACCAGTTACTTCGACCGGCCTTCGCGTGGACGACCTCCGCTTTGAGGTCCCACGGCGGAGACCCGCCCCACCGTACGGTACCCCCGTATGACCCGCTACGCCATGACCCTCTGCGGGCGGCACAAGACCAATCCAGACCTAACCCGTCTGTTCAGTGTAGGTAGGAAATAACCTCCACAAACCGTAACCCTGTGGTCATGTCTCTTAGGAACCGTGGCCTCGGCTTCACCGCCCAGTCCATGAGGAAGAAATCCTCTTTAATAGATCACCCCTAATCCTACAATGGGAAACGTGTAGGATGCATGGCTGGTGGGTTGTTCAGTCGCTAGCGCCAACTATAACACACCTGGCGAACGTTATAATATGTAGCCTTCACTGCCGGAATGGGAGTAACCCGATGGCGCGATCTTTAAATCTGCCTTATTTGTGGGAACATCATTGAACCCTCTACTTTAAACAAAAATAAAGTAACGCAGCAAATTTTACCCTGGTCTATTTATAGGCCGAGATCGCAATCTATCTGACTGCAGTCAAAACATTACTGCGACAACAATGCCGGGCGAACAAGACAAAGAAGATAATCAGCCCCTACCAGCAGAATAATTGCCAAAGCCTCCACCACTGTTTATTGATACGAGATCTTTATGAAATTAAAGGACCTACGGAAGGACCAGGTCAAGATTCAACCCAAAACAAGCGACGGTTACCGCACAATCGTCAAGGAGCTGGATGCTAAGGAAACAGAACACTTCACCTACAATCAAGCATCAACCAAGACCCCATTAAACATGTCTCTGGTAGAACTTCTATCACGCTCAAACAACAAGGAAATCTGCAACATTAATCCCTTGTGCATTGCCGTGTAAAGATGCAAGATCAAAGCGCACAATACCTCAATGTGCTAACTGCCTAGCCTACGGCCACACTTAGTCCTATTGCCGTCGAAACCCAAGATGCATAAAATGTGCGGATAGTCAACCATTTTCTGCGTGCTCGCGCAAGGAACGGTCTGACGATGTAAGATGTGCCTTATGTGGCGGAAATCATCCTGCAAATTATAAAGGTTGGTCTATAAAGATCTGTAGAAACAGAAATATCCCTCGCTACGTACATTAGGAGGCACACTAAATTCGGTAGTTACTGATATGAGTTCTGTACCAAACAAACATCTAAGCAAACCCTACGCTGATGCTGTTCGCAATGGTTTTAAACAAAAGGCGACACAGCCGTCCAAATCCAACGTTTGGGCAGCGTTCGGGAAACTACGCAACATTTCGTCCAACATACCTCAGTGCCTCAAGACAAAAATCTATAATCAATGTGTGTTACCAGTGATGATCTATGGAACTGAAACGTGGTCTCTCACTCTGGGCCTTATAAAGAAGCTCAAGGTCGCTCAGCGCGCTACGGAAAGGGCTATGCTCGGAGTTTCTTTGCGAGATCGGATAAAAAACGAGGTAATCCGCAAACGAACAAAGGTCGCCGACATAGCCCAGCGGATTAGCAAGTTGAAGTGGCTGTGGGTAGAACACATAGCGCGGAGAACCGACGGCCGCTGGGGCAGAAAGGTTCTCGAATGGAGGCAAACAAACTCAAACTTCTCCTCTATTTTTTTATGGAATAGGAGGCAAACGAGCAGACGGATCACCTGATGGTAAGCGATCAGCGCCGCCCATGGACACCCGCAACACCAGTGAAGTCACAGGTGCGTTGCCAGCCTTTTAAAAAGAAATACGCTCTTTTCTTGAAGCTTTGAAGGTCGTATCGGTTCGGGAATACCGCCGACGACAGATCATTCCACATTTTTGCTGTGCAAGGCAGAAAGGTACGTAAGGAGCGCACAGTTGTGGCCTGCCAACCATCAATATGATGGGGATGTATGTATATATGCTGTCGTGAGGGTCGATGGCGAAAAGATGCGGCGGGTATCGGGTCAAACAATTCCTCGGAGCACTCCCCGTGGTATAAGCGATAGAGATAATGCACAACGAAGCTACATCTCTACGCATTGCCAAAGTGTCTAGCCGGTTTGAAACATCCCGACATCCAACAATCCAAACGGCACGCCGCTGAACGCGGTTCAGAAGAAGAAGCTGGTACTGGGGTGACACGAGTCTGTTTCGGTTCTTCATGACGTTTTCCTGAGAAATGTTAGCGCGGCCGGTCGCATCCACATAACAATGAATGCCGCTGATTTACAGCATGACATTGATATACAGGAGAAACAACGTAGGTGATAGCACGCTCTCTTGAGGGTCGCCCTCTATAAAGCTAAGTTAAAACTAATATAGTCATATGAATTAGAACTCTGGGGAACTGCAGCCAACCCAAACTTGGACATATACAAAACTTCCAATTAAAAATGCTTGCCGAACTGGGCAGATTGCAGGGAAATAAGGAGGCTAAAAAAAAATTGGGGCCATTTGGGGCACCTCCAAATATCAAAGAAGGAAGATTACATTCTGTAGGCATATTGTAGTATGTGTTTATAGATATTTTACAAAACCTAAATATTTTTAGATCAGTGTTGGAAGATGTACTGCGGAAAACGTGTTCCAATAGTAAGTGTACCATAGTATGTGGCGATTTTAATGTTGATCTCTTGGAGAACAACTCTTATATAAAGACATTGTAAACAGATTACCATCTGATCACAGTGGCCTGACAGTCAGTTTTAACACTACACAAAAAAGGAAAATTCTATTTAGGCCAATTACAAATAAAAAAATTAACCACAACTTAAAAAATGAATTATGCGGACACCAGGTATGCGTATAAGTAGGGAAAAGTTATTTGAGTTATATGGTATGAAACAATTTAATAATAGTGAGGATTTTCGCAGTCATGTATCTAGATACTGGAAAATATTTAAAATGGTTTGTAAGCACGCTAAATCTCTGTACATTAGCAGTAAAATTAGGACCGCAGATAACTAAATAAAAACTACCTGGAACAGAATTAACACCGAGACAGGTAGAAATAGATCTCCTAACACTGAATTTAATTTAAATACTGAAAATGGACGTATTAGTGCAGATTTGAAAGTTGCCCAGGAATTCTTTTAAAATTTCTTTAAAAATATTTCGCTTAAAACTACGAAAGCGTTGAAATCATCACCAACACTATCTATCGATCTTTTTAAAAGTAATGTCGAGGAATGCTCAACAAATTTTCGATTTCAATATACAAACCCCCTAGCAGTGATAAAAGCGTTTAAAGATATTAAAGTTAAGTCGACTGAAGATCTTTGGGGAATGTCAGTAAGGATGTGTAGGTCTTTTATAGATACTATAGCGCCTCATTTGGCTTTCATTTTTAATAAAAGTGTAGATCAAGGGATTTTCCCAGATTTAATAACAAACTAGTAAAGTAGTTCCATTGTTTAAATCCGGTAATAGTGCGGAACCTAATAACTATAGGCCGGTCTCTATCTTGCCAGTGCTCAGTAAAGTGTTTGAAAGATTGATGCTTACTCAGATGCAGCGTCACTTCACCATGAATTCTATCTTTCATGATCAACAATACGGGTTCACCAAGTGACGCTGCAAGACTGATGCCAGGGTAGCACTAAGCCGGTTTTTGCCTCGTAGGAAGAGGCACGGGATGCCATCGGAATATTTTGCGATCTTTCGAAGGCATTCGACTGTGTTGAACACGAGACACTATTGCTGAAGCTGGAACACTACGGCATTCGGGGTGTATTGCTGAATCTGTTAAAGTCATACCTTCAGGATAGGCAACTTAAAGTTCAGGTAAAAAAAAGTTAACTCACAGGGTGCTGCATGTCTATAGGCGTACCGCAGGGCTCAATACTAGGTCCATTCCTATTTATTTCAAAATGAACCACATATTGTATTATTTGCTGATGACACATCATTAGTTTTTAAAATAAATAGACGAAAAAATAGTTATGACGATGTAAATAATGCTCTGATGAAGGTTTAATATTGGTTTACAATAAATAACGTAGTGCTAAACGAGAAAACTAAATGTATTAGATTTGTTTTGCCAAATGTTGGAAGTAACGAATGTGACATATTATTAAATAGTCGGAAATTAGAATTTGTAAAGGAGACTACATTCCTGGGAATTACGGTAGATGACAAATTGCAATGGGGTCCTCATATTACATCTTTAGCCGGACGATTAAGCTCCGCAGCTCATTCTTCCCCATAGAAATCTACACTTTGGTACGAGCAAATAGCTTCACTAGAGGACTGACCTACAGACTGACATTTTTTCTTATTATTTAAGAAAAAAACATGTTTTGTTATTCGTAGTTACATAATTATTTACTCCACCAGAGTGCAGTCCGATCTAAATCTATACGTACATAATAAAACTGAAAACTGTACATTGAATATACTGTACATAGTATAAAACAAAGTTGCTATCCGCTGTCTGTGTGTCCCTATGTATGCTTAGATCTTGACTGCTGGGGTATGAGTTATAATTGTGACTTAGTGTATCTGCATTACAGCACACTACATGTTAAATATTAATCTTTCAACTTATTCACTCAAATATACCACAAACTTAAGATTTAACAGTATTAATATTTTAAAATGATTTATAGATATTTATTTATAGACACAAATATACTCATATATTTATGTTTTCTATTCTGGGTTTATTTTTTTGATAGATTATTTATCAATTATCAACATGCTAATATGTATGAAACTACGTATATCTTTATGTAAGTACTGTAATTAATTTTAATTAGGTTAAATTGTGTAGGTAAGTAACTGAAATTTGTAAGTATATATATATAATATAAGTAGTATGTAAATATAATTTGTGTACGTAAACTATTACAATTTTATGAATTGAAACATTAGTTACCTATGTTTTTGGAGTGGAGTTAAGTCTTTATAGAAATAAAACAATTCTGTTCCTTACAGCATAAACTATGGGGGTAGGTAAATCCAAAATTTGTAGTTCGTTAGTATCAAAAGGTAAATAAGATAAAGGAACTTACATCTTAAATTACAGCGCTCGGTTAACGAAATACGGAGATAATTGTGACGACGACCAAAAGAGTCCACGAGAGGTGGCTCAACGAGCTGCGCCGGCGCCGGCGCCACTTCTGTGCTGCCAGGCTCCTTACATATTGGATGACATTAGTTAACAAGTAGCTTGTGAAGATCACTTCTAACTCTACTAAAAGGGCATAATATACACTTACATTTGCAAAAGATCTATGTAAACCATCTAAACATCGTGCACTGGGTGCTAGAAACGATAATTCATGATTGCTTATTCGAGCCAGTGAAATTATTTTATTTAAATTAACTCTCATCATTTTTCTTGACACGGCCACTGTTCACTGTAGTCCCCAAAATACTACTAACGAAGTAACAACGAACAAGATAACAAACAAGAAAAAATAACATAATTTCATGCACACAGATATGTAATACTAAATACTTTTTTATCATTAAGATATAGGTATCTAAATACGAGTTATTTGAGTGCGAGCCGTGCGAGTGCGACTGACTGGCTGGGTCAACCTCATAAATGTTTGTACATACAATAAGCAGACCAAACATTAATTCCTAGTTTTTACATACCTATAAGATATGATAATGATATCCATCATTCTTTGTCCTTATTCTGTCAAGCACCAATCTTATAATGGCGTCTCGTTCTTTTACCTGTAGCCACACTGCTCCACACATAGGCAAATATTGACATGTAGCTAGTTTTTCGCGTGCCGCCATATTGCTATGTTTACCTATAACTATGTCAATCTCGTTACCTATAAAAGAAAATATTAATTATTTCTACCATTAAACGTTTAAATAATCTAAAATAAAATGGCGAAGTGCAGTGTGTACCGATGTGACAGCAATAGCTTTAAGAAAATACCTGGAATAATCTTTCATCTTGTTTTTATTTACGATGTTGTAGACTAAAACAAATTGTCGATTTTTTAAAATAAATCAACTGTTTTGATTATGTCTTAACGTTTATAACGGAGCCTTATCAACTATCACGCCATTTGCCCATAAGTTTACTTCGAAAACAATGTACAAAAATAATAAACAAATAAAATCAAATTAATTTTTCATTCGAATGACAGTTCGACTATTTGTAGAATCAACAGAGGACGGATTTACTGTTTGGAAAGGTTAAAGTAATAATTATATTGTTTTCATATTGAGTTATAGTTTCTACATACTTTTGCGCATGTGTGTTTAATGGCTTTACAAATAGCTAATGTTTGGTCTGTTTCTCCTTGTATGTCTGTGGTTTGCATTGACGTGTAAAGACCAAGAGTTGCAGACCAAACACAGGTTGGCTACACACGTAAAATAGATAAGCACTTTGTGAAGCCAAAAACACCCAAGCGCAATTTGTAGCTTAAACGGGGCCACACTAAGGTCGGCATTAAAAATGAAGGACATTATTAGGTACCTACATAGAGATAAGCGTGTTTTTGGGATAAATAGTCAATGTTGTTTATAAATACCTACTGAATAAATATCCATTATTATTATAATCTATAAACGTTTGTTTGTTTGAACGTGCTAACCTCCGAAACTACTGATTCGAATTGAATAATTATTTTAGTGTTGGATAGTCCATTTATTGAGGAAGGCTATAGGCTATATAACATTACGCTGCGACCAACAGGAGCGAAGAAACCGTGATAAATGTGTAAAAAACGGGGAAAATATTCATCTTTGACGGCTTCCGTTGCGTGCGCTGCGCATACAGTTCCAATATACACAAAATAAAAGTATGAAAGAATTTTTCGTCTTAAAATGATTTACAAAAAGTCCGCGACAGTATATTTCTATCTTTTAAGATTAACTCACAAGAACCGCTTTTATGGTAACTAATTTGGTCGAAATTATTAACATTTATTTGTTAGAATTGTATCAACATAATAATATGCTGGATCGGGCAAAGTATTAAGTACTGGGTTTTTTAAAAAAATTCTCAGTAGTAGCACGGAGTCTGGAATTGTGCCCGGTATATGGCAATAGGCGCTAGGCACCCCCGATTACATGGGACTCATAATATAAAAGTGGGTGGTACATTGTACAGTGGTATAATGTGCACCTCTGCCTACCCCTTTACTTAGTCTTTGTGTTCAATGCCATCCAAATAAATGTGTTGTCGGTTAAGAGTATTTCATTGTGAATATAATTTTCTTAGTCTTTACTTAGTCTTTGTGTTCAATGCCATATCTGACACGTCCCACGTCAGACGTCTCACTCATGTGACCCAGTCGGCGTCCTTCATTATTACAGGTCTCACTCAAGCCCAACTCTAACCACCCAAACCCAACATAGTCGGCTGTCAGTGTCCAACACTGACACTGACACCTACTTGATTGACTTGTTCCTTCCCTACATTCACTGTTTATCTGCCTAATAAAATAAGACTGTGAATCTAGTGTAGTGGCTGTGAATTAATCGAAGAATATGTTTTTTGATAATCATACTTTGTATTTCGTACTTACATGAGTTAAGGGTTGAGTAAAAATCAAAGGAAAATGGATATATAGCAGCAACACAGTTTGTGGCAGTTATTTAGTTACCTACTTTCGCAACAAAAACAATTAGTAAAACTATCGTTTGAGTACAACCAGTGAGACCATCAACAGAATTAAAAATGTCTTTGTTTCCAGCCTATGCTAATGACAGTAATGATACGTGTTCCGAAAAAATAGACCAATACGAAGGTAAATCTGTACCCAAAAATATAAGTAATATCGAAACGTTCTCTTTGAGTTAGATGGCAATGGGCTGTGAGCAACATTCCTAATTCCTATACTTATTCTGTTCCTTTCTTATAGCATGACCTATTGGATATATCTAGTTTCGTTAAATCAATAAATTAGTAAGGGTTCGACAATGTATATACATACGGTCAACCTAGCTATTTGGTATGCAGGTCAGAAAATAAAGATTGCTTTAGTACAGAGACAGAAACTGTAGATTGGCTACTGAACTACTGACTTCCTTGTAACACATACAATAATGGCTACTGTCTCCGGACTACTCCAAACTAATTTTTATTTTCTTACCTATATATATATAATTTATATGGCTGACTGTACATGCAAAACTTCATTAGCACATCTATAATTATCTTTACCTATGGATCACTAGATCAATATAAATTAATCTAGACCAGTATACAGTGGTTTTATTCAACAACACCAGTATACACATATGTTGGAGTTCAACACCCCCAAGTACTGAACCCAGTATATTTAATATTCATATATGCATTGTATATTGATGGGAAATAATAAATTGATTAATGTCATGTTAAGTACAATATTAATGCATATTAGTATATTGTTTGGTTACTCTGTGTTGCAGAGTGTTGTGGTGAATCACTGGCTTTAGAGGCGCAACTGCTTGCAAGTGACAATGATGAGGAGCATGACGGTGGGTCCCACACTGCGCCCCCTGCCGCTTGCCAGAGCCTTCAACTGCTTGATTGTGATTATTATGTTGACTGCAAATTAGATGTTGGTAATCTGCGAGTCTCTACTCTGTACTACCCTGGAAGACCACAGTTAGTACAGAATCATTTATTTCAAACTTTGGCATATTCATAATGACTGGTCAATATGAATAATATCTACTGAATTTGATCAAAGTGATAAATGATGCAGAATTAACCACAATGACTAGCTATTATGATTATGTTATGAATAATAATAAAACTGTAGAATTGTAAATTCTGTATATTGAAAGTATTAAAAAAAATACTAGCCTTACTATTTTTTTGGGCTTGGTTTGATTTAAAAAAGAAAATGTTTGGCTGTCTGCAAGTTCACGCATCACATCAAAACTACCAGTCCGATTACAATGAAACTTTGTAGGATTAAACTTTAATATGCTGGGCATCACACTGGATACTTTTTACCCCGAAAATGTATATATTAACTAGCTTCTGCCAGCGGCTTCGCCCGCGATCCCAGGGATAAAATGCCTATGTATCACTTCAGACCATAATCTACCTCTATTCCGAATTTCATTCCGGTCCCTTCAGTCGTTTTAATATGACTGAGTAACAAACATACACATAAACTCACATATTTTCATTTATAATATCGAGTCAAGCTAATTTCAACCATTCGCCTTTCAGTTACAGCGTAAAGTCTATGAATGAGTATTGTAAACGTTAGAGTAGACAAATACAATCAGAAATCACCGAATTGCTAAGCTATCGGGAGTTTCACGTGTTATTGTGAGTCAACCATAAAAGATAGACATATGCTGTCGAGAAATATTTTTTATTTAATTTTAAGGAGAATATTTCCGTGATACATGATTTCTATGTAGCTTTAACCTATAAGCCTGCACACGCGACGGAAGCTTTAAAAATGGAGTAACTTCTCCCGTTTTCCCAATATTTCCCTTCACTGCTCTGCTCCTATTGATCGTAGCGTAATGAAAAGTATACTATAACTTGCCCAAGAGTATGAAGAATAATTGTGCCAAATTTCGTTAAAATCCGTTGAGTAGTTTTTGTTTCCATAACGAACATACAGACAGACAGACAGACAGACAAAAATTTTATTGATTGCATTTTTGGCATCAGTAGCGATCCCAAACCACCCCTTGATAGTTATTTTTTAAATATATTTTATGTACAGAATTGACCTCTCTACAGATTTATTATAAGTATAGATTATAAAAACAAACTTAATTGTGCGATTCGATCTAGATACTGTGTTTTGTGTGTAGGTGTGTAACTCAGTGACATCAAAATATTTGAAGGGACCAGGATGCAATATGGAATAGAGTTAGAATATGGTTTGGAGTAATACTAGGTATTTACCTATGAAATTGCCGTTTTGCATTACTGGCCATTTGAAATAAAAAATATTTTTGTTTGGCTAAGAATTTTAATTTGAATTCTAACAAACAATTTTATTTATTGATTAGTGTTTCATTTTCATCGCGTTTCAATCTTTTTCGTCCTATTATTATTATGGGAGGGGTTATCATCTTGCATTATTGTTTATATCACCGATGGGGACACAAGGGACTAATAAAAAGGTTTTTTGAACTTTTTCCCTTCCTTTGATATTGTTTGTTGCACAATATTTACAATGAGTGGCGCGCGGCGCGCAGGTATAGCACGTTGCCCCCGCGCGAGGCGCTGGGCGGCGCCGGCGCCCGGGCCGAGCCGGGGCGCCGGCGCGCGCGCCGCTACTACAGCGCGGGCGCCGGCTCGGGCGCCAGCTCGGCCGACGCCTTGCCCGATGAGGAGCTCGCGGAGCGGACGCGCGCCTACCGCGACATGCTCGCAGACAACCCCACGGACGAGTCGCTGTGGCTACAGTTTATCGAATTCCAGGTACGTGACGAGGCGGCCGGTGTGAAACGATCGCTCGTGTGTCTGTGTCTGTCCACTAACTGGTGTCCTGTACCGGGCGCAGGAACTGACGCGGGGGGCGGAGGCGGGGTTGGCGGCGGCGGAGTCGGCGGCGCGCGCGACGCGGTCGCCGCGGGTGCGGGCGGCGCTGCACCGCGCGCGGGCGCTGGCGCTGTCGCCGCTGCGCCGCCTCGACATGCTGCGGCGCGAGCTGGCCCTCGCAGGTATCGCACTATGTAACTTACAACGCTCGAGTGGCTTCATTTACATAAGATTTATATCATAACTAGCTTCTGCCCGCGACTTCGTGATTTTCGGTAAAAAGTAAAAAAAAAATTTTGGTTAAAAAGTATCCTATGTCGGTCTCCTGGCTCTAAGCTACCTCCCTCCCAATTTTCAGCCAAATCTATTCTGCCGTTCTTGAGTTATAAGTGGTGTAACTAACACGACTTTCTTTTATATATATATATATAGTGTGTCATCTGCTGTCTGCTGTACCTTTCTGGAAACACAGTCTTTTTTTCTTGGCAGCGATGGCAGCGAGCCCAAAAAATATCTGTTTTTCTTTTTACCCGACTGCCAAAGAAGGAGGGTAATGTTTTTCGAGTGTATGTAAGTATGTATGTATGTCTTTTCCTTTGTGACCACCTGTAGCCTAAACGGCTTGATGGATTTTGATGTATGAGGTATCGTTAGATTTGTCTTGATTACGGGAGTGTCATAGGATACATTTTATCCTAAAAGTCCCACGGGATAAAGACATAATAATATTTTTTCTAAATTTCCCTTTAAAAAAATATGTATGCGGTATCATTAGATTCATTTCAATCACGGGAGTAATTAATATAGGATACGTTTTTTCTCAAAATTCCCACGGGAACATGTTAATTCTGCGTCAACGCAAAGCAACTCATGCGTTAGCAAGCAAAAAGATAGGGCGTGGCCTGGCATGCGGCGCGCGGCGCGGTGCGGAGGGGATATGCTCGAGTATACAGCCCGATTGCGGGCACACGCATGAGGGCACACGTCGTTGACGATAGTCTTCTACATCTACAACATTTTCGTTAAATAAAAACAGCTAAAAAGTTATAAATAAAAAAAATATTATTAAAAAAACAAAATACCCGACTGCACACTAAAAAAAGAGTAAAACAAGCCCCACAATAATATTGATCAATCAAATGCTAAAAACTAATTATGTAATACCGTTTAAACAATACCTATATTAAAATACACTACAATATGTGTTCGTAATCGATAGTTAAATAAACAGAAACTTATTTTGAATACAAATTTACTGAATATAATTTATAAATGTTGATGGAAAGCATCGCAGGCGGGGACCACCTTGACCGCCACCAACGAAAATTCTGCTAAATGGTGCACAACCGAAATGACTATAAATAAGCCTCTGTTGGTCCCCGCCTGCGATGCATTCCATCAACATTTATAAATTATATTCAGTAAATTTGTATTCAAAATAAGTTTCTGTTTATTTAACTATCGATTACGAACACATATTGTAGTGTATTTTAATATAGGTATTGTTTAAACGGTATTACATAATTAGTTTTTAGCATTTGATTGATCATTTTTTATATAACGTTACCCCACACTAGGATTTTCTCCTGTGCCGTGGGTGCGTTTACAAACATACAAGTACACATACACAATGACACCCAGACCAGCAACAACAATTTGTGGATCACACAAAGAGTTGTTCCGTGCGGGAATTGAACCCGCGACACGTTGCGCGGCAGCCAGTTGCCCAGCCACCGCGCCAGCCGTGCAAACACAGAGTCTAGCTAGGAATTCCATTTTTAACGATTCGCAGTTTCGCACCACTGACTTAAAATTTATATCTCAATGGTTTGTCCAAGGAAACTTGAAGCGTAGCTCTATTCGCGAGTGGCTGGAATATCTACGATAAGTATATCGGCATCGTCTTGCCGCTTGAAATGGACTGGGGGAATTAAGTTGTACAATTCAATAAATAAATAAATATATATATACGTTACTACGCGTATGCAGAGTCGGACGACGAGCGCACCGAGCTGTGGCTGCGCACGCTGGGCTGCGCGGGCGCGGCGGGCGGCGCCGAGCTGGACGCGGCCGCGCGCGCCGCGCTGGGCGCCTGCCGCGCCAGTGCGGCCGCCTACCCGCTGCTGCTGTACGCGTACGGCGCCGGCCTGCGCGCCGCCGGCCACTGGGAGCGCCTTGTGCTGCTGCTGGAGCTCGTGCTGTCCATGAACTTCCCGCCCGCCGCCTTCCCGCCGCCGCCCGACCCGATGCAGCTGGCCGACCAGGAACGGCGCCTGCACGACCTGGAGGATAAGGTATTGTGTGAGGGTGAGCCCCGTGTACAGGTTCGTGTGCAGGTGTGCAGCACACTGTGGGTCTGAGCACGGTGTGGGTGTGTGAGTGTGTGTGTGTGTGCAGGTGGTGTGCAGCGGGCTGCCGCTGAGCACGGTGTGGGTGTGTGAGTGTGTGTGTGTGTGCAGGTGGTGTGCAGCGGGCTGCCGCTGAGCACGGTGTGGGTGTGTGAGTGTGTGTGTGTGTGCAGGTGGTGTGCAGCGGGCTCCCGCTGAGCACGGTGTGGGTGTGTGAGTGTGTGTGTGTGTGTGTGTGCAGGTGGTGTGCAGCGGGCTGCCGCTGAGCACGGTGTGGGTGTGTGAGTGTGTGTGTGTGTGTGTGTGCAGGTGGTGTGCAGCGGGCTGCCGCTGAGCACGGTGTGGGTGTGTGAGTGTGTGTGTGTGTGCAGGTGGTGTGCAGCGGGCTGCCGCTGAGCACGGTGTGGGTGTGTGAGTGTGTGTGTGTGTGCAGGTGGTGTGCAGCGGGCTGCCGCTGAGCACGGTGTGGGGTGTGAGAGTGTGTGTGTGTGTGTGTGTGCAGGTGGTGTGCAGCGGGCTGCCGCTGAGCACGGTGTGGGTGTGTGAGTGTGTGTGTGTGTGTGTGTGCAGGTGGTGTGCAGCGGGCTGCCGCTGAGCACGGTGTGGGTGTGTGAGTGTGTGTGTGTGTGCAGGTGGTGTGCAGCGGGCTGCCGCTGAGCACGGTGGGTGTGTGAGTGTGTGTGTGTGTGTGTGTGCAGGTGGTGTGCAGCGGGCTGCCGCTGAGCACGGTGTGGGTGTGTGAGTGTGTGTGTGTGTGCAGGTGGTGTGCAGCGGGCTGCCGCTGAGCACGGTGTGGGGTGTGAGTGTGTGTGTGTGTGCAGGTGGTGTGCAGCGGGCTGCCGCTGAGCACGGTGTGGGTGTGTGAGTGTGTGTGTGTGTGTGTGTGCAGGTGGTGTGCAGCGGGCTGCCGCTGAGCACGGTGTGGGTGTGTGAGTGTGTGTGTGTGTGCAGGTGGTGTGCAGCGGGCTGCCGCTGAGCACGGTGTGGGTGTGTGAGTGTGTGTGTGTGTGCAGGTGGTGTGCAGCGGGCTGCCGCTGAGCACGGTGTGGGTGTGTGAGTGTGTGTGTGTGTGTGTGTGCAGGTGGTGTGCAGCGGGCTGCCGCTGAGCACGGTGTGGGTGTGTGTGTGTGTGTGTGTGTGTGTGTGCAGGTGGTGTGCAGCGGGCTGCCGCTGAGCACGGTGTGGGTGTGTGAGTGTGTGTGTGTGTGTGTGTGCAGGTGGTGTGCAGCGGGCTGCCGCTGAGCACGGTGTGTGTGTGAGTGTGTGTGTGTGTGCAGGTGGTGTGCAGCGGGCTGCCGCTGAGCACGGTGTGGGTGTTGAGTGGGTGTGTGTGCAGGTGGTGTGCAGCGGGCTGCCGCTGAGCACGGTGTGGGTGTGTGAGTGTGTGTGTGTGTGTGTGTGCAGGTGGTGTGCAGCGGGCTGCCGCTGAGCACGGTGTGGGTGTGTGAGTGTGTGTGTGTGTGTGTGTCAGGTGGTGTGCAGCGGGCTGCCGCTGAGCACGGTGTGGGTGTGTGAGTGTGTGTGTGTGGTGTGCAGGTGGTGTGCAGCGGGCTGCCGCTGAGCACGGTGTGGTGTGTGATGTGTGTGTGTGTGTGTGCAGGTGGTGTGCAGCGGGCTGCCGCTGAGCACGGGGTGGGTGTGTGAGTGTGTGTGTGTGCAGGTGGTGTGCAGCGGGCTGCCGCTGAGCACGGTGTGGGTGTTGAGTGTGTGTGTGTGTGTGTGCAGCGGGCTGCCGCTGAGCACGGTGTGGGTGTGTGAGTGTGTGTGTGTGCAGGTGGTGTGCAGCGGGCTGCCGCGAGCACGGTGTGGGTGTGTGTGTGTGTGTGTGTGTGTGCAGGTGGTGTGCAGCGGGCTGCCGCTGAGCACGGTGTGGGTGTGTGTGTGTGTGTGTGTGTGTGCAGGTGGTGTGCAGCGGGCTGCCGCTGAGCACGGTGTGGGTGTGTGAGTGTGTGTGTGTGTGCAGGTGGTGTGCAGCGGGCTGCCGCTGAGCACGGTGTGGTGTGAGTGTGTGTGTGTGTGTGTGTGCAGGTGGTGTGCAGCGGGCTGCCGCTGAGCACGGTGTGGGTGTGTGAGTGTGTGTGTGTGTGCAGGTGGTGTGCAGCGGGCTGCCGCTGAGCACGGTGTGGGTGTGTGAGTGTGTGTGTGTGCAGGTGGTGTGCAGCGGCTGCCGCTGAGCACGGTGTGGGTGTGTAGTGTGTGTGTGAGTGTGTGTGTGTGTGTGTGCAGTGTGTGCAGCGGGCTGCCGCTGAGCACGGTGTGGGTGTGTGAGTGTGTGTGTGTGTGTGCAGGTGGTGCAGCGGGCTGCCGCTGAGCACGGTGGGTGTGTGAGTGTGTGTGTGTGTGTGTGCAGGTGGTGTGCAGCGGGCTGCCGCTGAGCACGTGGGTGTGTGAGGTGTGTGGTGTGTGCAGGTGGGGGCAGCGGGCTGCCGCTGAGCACGGTGGTGTGATGTGTGTGTGTGTGCAGGTGTTGCAGCGGGCTGCCGCTGAGCACGGTGTGGGTGTGTGAGTGTGTGTGGGTGTGTGTGTGTGGTGCAGGTGGTGCAGCGGCTGCCGCTGAGCACGTGTGGGTGTGTGAGTGTGTGTGTGTGTGTGTGCAGGTGGTGTGCAGCGGGCTGCCGCTGAGCACGGTGTGGGGTGTGTGTGAGTTGTGTGTTGGTGTGCAGTGGTGTGCAGCGGCTGCCGCTGAGCACGGTGGGGTGTGTGAGTGTGTGTGTGTGTTGCAGGTGGTGTGCAGCGGGCTGCCGCTGAGCACGGTGTGGTGTGTGAGTGTGTGTGTGTGTGTGCAGGTGTGTGCAGCGGGCTGCCGCTGAGCACGGTGTGGGTGTGTGAGTGTGTGTGTGTGTGCAGGTGGTGTGCAGCGGGCTGCCGCTGAGCACGGTGTGGGTGTGGATGTGTGTGTGCAGGTGGTGTGCAGCGGGCTGCCGCTGAGCACGTGTGGGTGTGTGAGTGTGTGTGGTGTGCAGGTGGTGTGCAGCGGGCTGCCGCTGAGCACGGTGTGGGTGTGTGAGTGTGTGTGTGTGTGTGTGTGCAGGTGGTGTGCAGCGGGCAGCCGCTGAGCACGGTGTGGTGTGTGAGTGGTGTGTGTGTGTGTGCAGGTGGTGTGCAGCGGGCTGCCGCTGAGCACGGTGTGGGTGTGTGAGTGTGTGTGTGTGTGTGTGCAGGTGGTGTGCAGCGGGCTGCCGCTGAGCACGGTGTGGGTGTGTGAGTGTGTGTGTGTGTGCAGGTGGTGTGCAGCGGGCTGCCGCTGAGCACGGTGTGGGTGTGTGAGTGTGTGTGTGTGTGCAGGTGGTGTGCAGCGGGCTGCCGCTGAGCACGGTGTGGGTGTGTGAGTGTGTGTGTGTGTGCAGGTGGTGTGCAGCGGGCTGCCGCTGAGCACGGTGTGGGTGTGTGAGTGTGTGTGTGTGTGTGTGTGCAGGTGGTGTGCAGCGGGCTGCCGCTGAGCACGGTGTGGGTGTGTGAGTGTGTGTGTGTGTGTGTGTGCAGGTGGTGTGCAGCGGGCTGCCGCTGAGCACGGTGTGGGTGTGTGAGTGTGTGTGTGTGTGCAGGTGGTGTGCAGCGGGCTGCCGCTGAGCACGGTGTGGGTGTGTGAGTGTGTGTGTGTGTGCAGGTGGTGTGCAGCGGGCTGCCGCTGAGCACGGTGTGGGTGTGTGAGTGTGTGTGTGTGTGTGTGTGTGCAGGTGGTGTGCAGCGGGCTGCCGCTGAGCACGGTGTGGGTGTGTGAGTGTGTGTGTGTGTGTGTGTGCAGGTGGTGTGCAGCGGGCTGCCGCTGAGCACGGTGTGGGTGTGTGAGTGTGTGTGTGTGTGCAGGTGGTGTGCAGCGGGCTGCCGCTGAGCACGGTGTGGGTGTGTGAGTGTGTGTGTGTGTGTGTGTGCAGGTGGTGTGCAGCGGGCTGCCGCTGAGCACGGTGTGGGTGTGTGAGTGTGTGTGTGTGTGCAGGTGGTGTGCAGCGGGCTGCCGCTGAGCACGGTGTGGGTGTGTGAGTGTGTGTGTGTGTGCAGGTGGTGTGCAGCGGGCTGCCGCTGAGCACGGTGTGGGTGTGTGAGTGTGTGTGTGTGTGTGTGCAGGTGGTGTGCAGCGGGCTGCCGCTGAGCACGGTGTGGGTGTGTGAGTGTGTGTGTGTGTGCAGGTGGTGTGCAGCGGCTGCCGCTGAGCACGGTGTGGGTGTGTGAGTGTGTGTGTGTGTGTGTGCAGGTGGTGTGCAGCGGGCTGCCGCTGAGCACGGTGTGGGTGTGTGAGTGTGTGTGTGTGTGTGTGCAGGTGGTGTGCAGCGGGCTGCCGCTGAGCACGGTGTGGGTGTGTGAGTGTGTGTGTGTGTGCAGGTGGTGTGCAGCGGGCTGCCGCTGAGCACGGTGTGGGTGTGTGAGTGTGTGTGTGTGTGTGCAGGTGGTGTGCAGCGGGCTGCCGCTGAGCACGGTGTGGGTGTGTGAGTGTGTGTGTGTGTGTGTGTGCAGGTGGTGTGCAGCGGGCTGCCGCTGAGCACGGTGTGGGTGTGTGAGTGTGTGTGTGTGTGTGTGTGCAGGTGGTGTGCAGCGGGCTGCCGCTGAGCACGGTGTGGGTGTGTGAGTGTGTGTGTGTGTGTGTGTGCAGGTGGTGTGCAGCGGGCTGCCGCTGAGCACGGTGTGGGTGTGTGAGTGTGTGTGTGTGTGTGCAGGTGGTGTGCAGCGGGCTGCCGCTGAGCACGGTGTGGGTGTGTGAGTGTGTGTGTGTGTGTGGTGCAGGTGGTGTGCAGCGGGCTGCCGCTGAGCACGGTGTGGGTGTGTGAGTGTGTGTGTGTGTGCAGGTGGTGTGCAGCGGGCTGCCGCTGAGCACGGTGTGGGTGTGTGAGTGTGTGTGTGTGTGTGCAGGTGGTGTGCAGCGGGCTGCCGCTGAGCACGGTGTGGGTGTGTGAGTGTGTGTGTGTGTGCAGGTGGTGTGCAGCGGGCTGCCGCTGAGCACGGTGTGGGTG